AGGGTCAGTAAAGAGGGTGGGTGGGGATCATGGGCCTGAGGGGGCTTCCCCGGGAAGGGGCGGGGTGGGAGAGGGGGTGCCTGGAAGGGTCCGGGGAGGGGCCCTGAGAAGTCGGGAGGCGTCGGGAAGGAGGGTGGGCGGAGGCCGGGGCCTGAGGCTGACGGCCAGTTCCGTGCTGGGAGTGCCGAGGGCTCCCAGCGCGGGTTCCGGGGCGACGCGGCCGGACTCCCAGTTTTCCCGGCCCCCGCGGGCCGCAGCGCAGAGCCGCTGGCCTAAGAAGGCGCCCGGGAGGCCCGGCCCGCGCCGCCTCCCTACCTGCGCCGAGCGCGCCGCCATCGCCGTGCCGAGCCTCGCCGTCCCGGGCCGCGCCGCCGGATCCCCGCCGCGCAGCTTGCCCCGGAGCCCCGGCCCGGCCCCCTCAGCCGCCCCCTGAGACCGCCGCCGCCACCGGCTCCGCCGCTGCCATTTCACCGGCTGACAGGAGCCGCTGCCCCGCCCCCGAGGCCCAGTCAGCCAATTCACCGCCCCCAGGCACCCTGGCTCCGCCTATTTGCTAGGAGTGACTGGATGTTTGGCCAATCCGTGTCCATTCCGTGAGGCGGGACCTGACTACGGCCAGAAGGTTGCCGCCTCTGAAGAGAGAAGCGAATTGAAATTAGGGACTCAATGAAGGACGAGTGGTTTTACCTATCAGAATGTTGAATCCTGTTGATCAACACGTAGAGAAACCAATAGCAAGGAAAGAGGGGTATGTCTCTGAGGGAAGGTTGCCGTCCTGAGGAACCCCAGACTGAGGCAGCCAGGCGTTTGGCATTAAGCCCCGCCCAGACCCAGGATTTCTGCCCAATAACGAGATGTCCTGAGATGTCCATTATTATTTGTCCCTCAAACCAAGCCATAGCAACTGTTAGGACTCTATAAAGAAGATTGACACCTAAGAAGTCAATGAAACTGAAGGAGGGCGGTGAAGTGACACTCTCTGGCCAATGGGATCGTGAGATTGGTATGAGGTTAGCCTCCCTGCGGTGGGGCTTGAGTCCAGGATTGAATGACATAGGGGAGGGGTTTGGGGGTGTGGCCTAGACAACGATGGGGCGGGGCCAGGTAAGGTTGGGTCTGAGAAGAGGCGTTGCCAGAAATCCCTAAGGCTGAAGGGGTGGTGATAGGACATTCCTTTGAGCCCGGCTCTGTGCTTGGGGGCGGAGGTCACACGGGAGACGAAGACACAGGCCAGTCCCCTGCCCTAGTCTATCTAGGCCCAGTTAAGTATCTTCTTTGAGGCTCACAGTGCCCAGACTGATAGCTGCGGGGGTAAGGGGCCTAAGTCAGGTCTTTCCGGGGTCCCCAGTATTGTTGAGTAAGGGCCCTGCACATGGGAACTGCTTATAAATGTTTGATGAATGAATGAATAAATGAATGATGGGCCCAAAACTCTTTAACAGGGAAGAGAAGGCGGGGGTCACTCACGCTAGGGAAGGACATGTAGGGACAATCATTGACAGCAGACAAGACTTAGCAAAAAGGACACGCTTCCACCCCAAGATGCAGGGATGAGCCCTGGAGGGGTGGGGCAGGGAAGGACCCTGTCACGAGAGGGTGACATCATAAATTCAGAATGGGGACTGAAAATGGGGAGACAGAATGGGGAACAGGAGGGCTGGGTGAGACCCAGAGTGGGGTGTGCAAGGACATTCTAAGGTCTAGATGTCAACCTTCTAAATAGTAGGGGATTCTGTCTGGTTTGGGAAGCAATGACGGACATCCCTTTGCTCCCTGCCCTTGTCCACCTCTCTCTGCCTTTCTACTCTGTCCCAGCTACATTTTGTCCCTGTCTACAGTCTGTCTGTCTATTCTCTCTGCCCAGTCTACACTCTGAATCTGTCTACACCCATTTTGCTGCTGTCTCTACTTTCTCTGTGTCTCTGTACGTCTTCCCTCTCTTCCTCTCTCTCACTATCTACATTGCACCTATTGAAATTCTGGAACTGTTAAGAAAAGCCCCAAAACATATTTCTAAAAACTCAGGTGGTAAAAATAAATATAATACATTCTGTCTCCCTCACAAGCCCATATCCCCTTTTCTCATTTTGTATTTTTTAAAGAACAGATCTTTACCTCCCTCTTTTTAAAGTCAGCTTATGTGTGGGCATTTTATAGTCCTGACAAAGTTAAAAGGTGACTTTGGATTTGCTGACTTTGAAGCTGAAATGAATTTATGGACATTGTCCCCTGATTTCTGGGTGGACTTGGGAGGGGCCTGCAGACCCCTGTGGACATGGTTGGATATGGGATACAGAATGTTAAGTCAGGAGGGCAAGAGTGATGCCAGGATGTGGTGAAGGCCAAGAAACCAGCAAGGGACAATCCCTGAGCTGGTTCCTCCGTGTGGAAGACTGAGGAGCCATCAAGGGGCCACAGTCTCAGGGTTTGCTCTTGTTTCCAGAGGTTCTTTTTCAGGAAAAAACAGTTTGGTGTGAGCCACAACATTCAAGGAACAGAAAAACCTGGATGGATAGCCAAGATGTGGGAGACAGAGGGGTCTGCAGAGGTACATGCCTGTGTGGGGTTCAGGGCTCCCAAGAAAGGGGTCATGACCAGTTTGTTTCTGGGGCCTTGCCTGGGAGATAGGGGCATCTGGTGTCTAGGGAATCAAATCAAACATCAGGAAGATGCACAGGACCCTCTCATTCTCCCACTGCCATTTCCTCAGAAAGGATGGTTTTATTCTGGGGACACTTTGATTCCATTTTTATAAGCACAGTGGGGGAAAAAATCCAACACATTTTTGTTGAGAAAAGACTTTTGAATGATAAACTGCATCTAGCCAATTAGATTCCTGGATCGTTTTTTTTTTTTGATTCAGAGCAGTTATACTGTTCCCAAATTATTTTCAAAGTTCATTTTTATTTGATTGAAATAATTTTTATCAGGAACATTTTTTCCATGTAATTTTTGCTGTAAACATTTAATTCATCAATCAGGCCCTTTTTGTCCAATTTTTACCAAGTGTCGATTCTACCACTGTGAATTTTTGTGTGTGGTTGTCTTTTCTTCGGAATCAAGTTTTCCATATTTAAATTAATTAAAAGGCTTTTTTTTTCCTGTCAGTATTTAGCCATAACAAATTTTAGTGCAATCAAATTTTTTCTGGGTTAAACTTTGGACTCAAAAATCCTTTATTGTGAATATTGATTAATGTGAGCTTAGACCTCATACATGTCTCATGGAGAACAAAAAAGGTGACAATATTTGTAGCTTCTCCTATGATGAGGTGGAGTCTGTTTCTCCATCACTTGAATCTGAGCTGGCTTTGTCACTTGTTCTGATCAACAGAATGTATCAGAGATGATGCTGGTCTAGTTCTGAGGCTTGACCTTGAGAAACATTGCAGCTTTGGCTCTCTCTCTCTCTCTCTCTCTCTCTCTCTTTTAAAAAACTTTAATTGTGGTTAAAAAATATACATATGTACACATACATATATATATATACATATATGTGTATATGTATATACGTATATATACATATACAGAGGGTGCCAAAAAAAGTATACACATTTTAAGAAAGGAAAAACTGTATTAAAATTGTACTGTAATGAATGATGCTAGCATTCATTTGATTAATGCCTTCTTTTTTTATTGGGGAACAGTGTGTTTTTCCAGGACCCATCAGCTTCAAGTCAAGTAGTTGTTTCAATCTAGTTGTGAAGGGAGCATTCAGTGGCCCATGTGGGGATCAAACCAGTAACCTTGGTGTTATGAGAACTGCACTCTAACCAGCTGAGCTATCCGGCCACTCTGATTAATGCCATCATTTGAGCGAATGTCATACTACACATTGCTACCATAATTCAATCAACTTTGAAAAGTGATACATAGATAACATCTCTTTTTTTTATATAAAGATTTTATTGGGGAATTGGGGGAGGGGAACAGACAAGTTGCTGTACTTTTTGTTCTTCAATCTAGTTGTGGAGGACGTCGCTTCACTGGCCCATGTTAGTATTATCATTGCGCCCTTCCCGGGTGAGGCAGTTGCTCGTTGGCCTCGTTGGACGGCCGCTCACGATGTCTCACAGCAGCTCACACCGGCTGCTGGCCATTCACGCTGGCTGCCAGCCACTCTGGTAGTTCATGGCAGCCCACTGGCAGGGGCTGCAGCCTCTGCCGCCACTGGCGACTCACGACAGCCCAGCTCCAGGTTAAGCTGTGTTCACCATCTTAGCTGTAGAGGGCAGTGTCACTGGCCCTCATGAGGGATCCAAACCGGGACCCTGCTGCTCAGAGCTGGCGTCCCAAGCCAAATCAACCAACGCACCACTCGGCTGGCCCAGATAACATCTCTTAAAATGTGTACTTTTTTTTGGAACGCCCTGGTGTGTGTGTGTGTGACATAACACTTACTTAGTTTTTAAAAAAATTTTATTGGGGAACAGCCATGATCATTGGTTACACATTGCTTTCATGCTACAATGGCATAGTTGACTCTTTTGGGAGGGCGCAGCTCACAGTGGCCCACGCAGGGATTGAACCGGCAACCTTGGTGTTATCAGCATCACACTCTAACCAACTGAGTTAACTGGTCACCCCCAACACTTGCCACTTTTATGTGTACAATTCAGTGGCATTAAGTATGTTTGCAATGTTGTGCAACCATCACTATTTCCAAAACTTTTTCATCACCTGCAAATAGAAATTCTGTCCCCTGTGTGGGGTGAAATGTCTAACTATTACATTGTTTTGTACACCTGAAACTAATAAGAAAGAAAGAAAGAAAGAAAGAAAGAAAGAAAGAAAGAAAGAAAGAAAGAAAGAAAGAAAGAAAGAAAGAAAGAAAGAAAAAAGAATTTCTGTTCCCATTAAACACTAACTCCCTGGTAACTTCCATTCTACTTTTTGTTTCTGTGAAGTTGCTAGAGACATCACACAAGTGGAATCATACAATATTTGTCTTTCATGTCTGGCTTATTTCACTGAGCATAATGTCCTCAAGATTCACCCATGTTGTAGGATCCATCACAACTTCATTCCTTTTTTTAAAAAAAGATTTTATTAGGAAATTGGGGAAGGGGAACAGTGTTGGGGAATTGGGGAAGGGGAACAGCCAAGTTATTGTCCTTCAATCTTAGTTGTGTAGGGCTCAGCTCGCTTGGCTCCAAGTCCAGTGGCCGATGGCCTCCCATTGGCAGCTCGCGGCTGCTCAGCTCAAGGTGCCGTGTTCAATCTTAGTTGTGGGTGGGCTATGCCCACTCTCTCATGTGAGAGTCTAACTGACAACCTTGTTAGGAGCCATGCTCTCACTAGCTGAGCCATCCTGCTACCTGTTGGCAGATCAGAGGCAGCTCAGCTCGG